AGGGTTGCATGGGAGCGGCGGGTGACATTTTCACCTCCTTCGCCGCCCACACTGCTGCCTGCGGAGCGAGCCCTGGGGGAGCCGAGGCGAGGGCTTCTTCTGGGTTAGCGAAACGCGAAATCGCAGCCCTGCGATGCTGGGAGCCCCTGGCCCCCACGCTCTGCTGGGCAAGGCCTCTTCATCTGACAGGTCCCCCGGCTCTCGGCTCCTGGGTGGCTGCGGACAAGCTGGCCCGCTTCTCCAGGCCCCGTTGCTGCCGCCGCATCGGCCACGTGGTCCCAGGCTGGCATTACCCGTGGGCAGGCCCCCGCAGAGTACGCCTGTCCCAGCCTGGAGCCATGGCATGGGATGAGATTTTGGCCGTGCCATCCATCCCAGAGGCTTGAGCTGGGGCCAGGGTGGGGTGGTGCAAAGCCCTCGGAGTGCCAAGGGAGGGAAGGATGAGCCTTTCTCCCCCTCTGCCAGCCGTGGGGGAGGACCTGGGACTCGATCGGTGGCGAGCGGGACCTCCACTCATGGGCAAGCCCCAGCCACGCTGCAGAGCGATGCATGGGCACAGCCGAGCTCAGCGCATCGCTGCCACGGAGGTGTGGGGCGGGCGGGGGGTAATGCATCCCAGGGGCGGGACGGGGGCTCCCCTCCCCGCTCTCTGCTGAGCCGCACTTTGTCCCCAGATCAACCTGAACAAAGGGGACGAGTACTGGTGGAACGCCATCCTGGAGGGCGAGGAGCAGATCGACATCGACAAGATCAACAAGGAGCGCTCCATGGCCACGGTGGATGAGGAGGAGCACGCCGTGCTGGACCGCCTCACCTTCGACTACCACCAGAAGCTGCAGGGCAAGCCCCAGAGCCACGAGCTGGTAAGTGCCCGCCGCGCCGCCAGCCCAGCCCTGCCCTGCCACGCGCCCTCCGGCTCCTGCGTGGGTCCCGTCTCCGGTATAAAGGGTGCGGCGTGGGGCCCGCTCCGTCGCAGAGCTCCTCCTCACACAGCGTCCCCCCACATCTCCGTTTCGGGGGTGTGAGGTTCTGCTAGTCCCTGTCATTTGCACGCTCCCGTCTTCCCCTTCCCGGCACCTTGGCAAACGCCCATGAACCCAGACCCCCCTGCACCGGCGATGGGCCCCGCATCCCTGTGCCTCCTCCAGAGCCAGCCCTGCCGTCTCCCCGCTGCCTCTGCTCCGGGATGAACCCACGTGGGTCTGGTTCAGCCCCACCAAGGGGCCGCCTTTCACTGCCCGTCGGTCGGGTGCTGCTTTCACCCAGGGCAGAGGGGTGCTGCTGCTGAGCCCCAACCCCCTTTGATGCGTCAGGTGGCCACACAGCCCTTGGCGCCTGCGGGATGAGCCCGTACTCTCGGTGGGGATGGGGGGGGTACGGGCGAAGGTGTGGGGTCATCCCCGTCCTGAGGGAGCCCTGTGGCCCTGTGGCCTCTTTGCAGAAGGTGCACGAGATGCTGAAGAAGGGCTGGGACACCGAGGGCTCCCCTTTCCGTGGGCAGAAGTTCGACCCCTCCATGTTCAACATCTCCCCCGGCGCCGTGCAGTTTTGACGGCAGCCAAAAATGGCCGAGAAATGAAGCGGGGAGAGGAGAAACCCACCCAAGTGCCCGCCCGGCACCCTTGCACCCAACACTGGCACCGGTAACCCGCTCACCAATGATGTATGCTGCCGGCACCCTTGCACTGCCTTTGCCACCCTGCACCGGCACTGGCACCGGCATTGGGCTCGGCGGTTTGATGTACGTGCGGGGAAACCTGGCGAATGCAGATTTACGTCCCGTCACCAAGGCAACCCGAGCGGCTGGGACCCTTCTCCTCTCCTCGCCTCACGCTGGCGACGGCTCTGTTGTTTTTCAGGAATAGACAGAGCTGGTTGGGTGACATAATTATTATTTCTGGTGGCTGAGGATGCTTCTTTTTGGGCTTCTGGGGGTGCAGCTCCCTCCCTGCCCTGGCGCAGAGCAGCTTTGCCCCTCACAGGCAGAGCTGTGCTCTCCGCAGCTCCGGGTATGGGCAGCGGGGATGGCGGGGGCACACGGGGAGAGAGCCTGCCCCTGCCTGCGCCCTGCCTGCTGCCCTGCCTGCCTGGCACCCCCAGCTCCCCTCGCCGGGCCCTGCTCCGGGGTCTCCCACGGGTGCTGCGCTGCCTCTGCCCGGCCGAGGGCCCCGTCCAGCACCGCGGGGGGGTTCCTCCCGGGTTGTCCCCCCTTCAGCCCATTGCTGGAGGGGGCCCGGGGCGCCGGAGCGGGCGCAGCCCCTCGGCGGTGGGCAGAGACCCCGGGGTTTGCTTCCCCCTTCCTTGGGGGTCGGTGGGGAGCAGCGGGGCTGCCACCCACAACACCATGGTGGGGAGGGGGCCAGGCTGCGCCCGTGGGTCCCTGCCAGGGGGCTACAGGCCTGGCCCTCGTGGCCACCAGCCCCCCCCTACTGGTGGGCAGTAGCCCCAAAGATGTCTGGGCTTCCCTGGCACGGCACTTTGGGGTCTGGCAGGGGGCACGTGGGAGCCCTGGCCCCCCCCAGGCCCAGTCTGGCTCTCACGGCTTCCCACGGGCCCCCACCCTGGGGTGGGTGGGCTGGGGGTCCCTGGCCGTCACCCTGCCCCCCCGCTGCCCCCCTTCCCCTCGGTTTGCAATAAACGCGTTTCTCGAGCGCGGGGCCTGCGAGTGATTCGGTGCCACTGCCGGGGGGGACGCCTGTGCCCTGGCCCCCCCAGCACCACCCCGCCTAAAGGCTGGGGACGGGGACACCCAAGGGTGTCTGCAGGTGGCCCTCATGTCCCCCCATGGGGGCAGGGTCCCTCCCACGTGATGGCGGGGGCTGGATTTCGGGGTCCTTTGGGGCATCAATATGGGATCCCGGGGGGGGGGGCAGGGCTGGATTTCGGGGGCCTTTGGGGGGGGATATGGG